TCTGGTGGCTAGAGTGGTGCCTGTTCTGCTGCTGCGGTCGGTTGCTGCTGCTGCTGCAGCAGCAGCAGCAGCAGCATTCTTTGCTTCTTCTTCTTGTGCAGCAGCAGCAGCAATCATCATTTGTTGCTGCTGCTGCTGCAGATCAGCAGCAAAAACATACGCATGCATCCAGGTGTCTAGGCAGCTCTGCTGCCAGCAGCGCAGCTGCAGCAGCGCCTCAACGAACCTCCTGACAGCAGCAGAAGCAAAAGCGAGTCCTGCTGCAGCAGCAACAAGGTGTGGGGGAAGTGCAGCAGCAGCAGCAGCAGCAAACCTAGGGGGCTGCAGCAGCGCATGCAAAGGCCCATCAACACACACACGAGCAGCAGATTCACCCGTAAACAGCAGCAGCAGCAGCGGGCTGCAGCAGAAGCAAAACGGACAGCAGCGGGAACGACGGGGCCCCAACCGCAGCCGCAGCGCGCAGACCCAGCAGCAGAAGTGGCTGCAGCAGCCAGCAGCAACACAGCTTGTCTCCTCGCAGCAAACCACACACTCTACACGCTCAAAACCATAGTCCTGCTGCTGCTGCTGCTGCTGCTGCTGCTGCTGCTGCTGCTGCGGTGGGGGAGGGGGGTGAGGGCCTAGGGTTGTTGCTCCTGCTGCTACTGCAGCAGATACAAACACCTTGCATGCATCTACCGTCACCACACCACCACATCCTCCCTGCTGCTGCTGCTGCTGCTGCTGCTGCTGCAGCGGCTGGTAGTATTGCTGCTGCTGCTGATGCCTTGGGCGGTGTCTGTAGGGGCCCCCCCCACGGCCCCTACCAGCAGAGAAGGGGGGCCCCCGGGGGCCCCCATTGCTGCTGCTGTGGGGCCCCCCTCTCCCTCTGGCTCGACCCCCCCGTCGGCCTTCTGCTGCTGCTGCTGCTGCTGGTGCTGCTGCTGCTGCAGCTGCGCTGCTGCGGGCGGCACCCGACTCTGATGTGTTGAAAGACATGCCCACCAAAACCCTAAACCCTAAACCCTAAACCCTAAACCCTAAACCCTCACACACACACAACGAACCGCCGTACACTGGATCAGCAGTCCGCCTGCAGCAGCAGCTCCTGCTGCTGCTGCTGCTGCTGCTGCTGCTGCTACTGCTACTGCTACTGCTACTGCTGCTGCAGCTTCTGCAGGCAACGCGTTTCTCCAATTCCTAAAGCAGCGTCAAACCTGCTGCTGCTGCTGCTGCTGCTGCTGCTGCTGCTGCTACTGCCGCTGCTGCTGCTGCTGCCGCTGCTGCTGCTGCTGCTGTTGCTGTTGCAGCTGCAGCTAAACTTGCTGCTGCTGCTGCTCTCAGACCTCCTCGGTATTTAAGTTGCTGCTGCTGCATTTAACACACCAAGCAGATGCAGCTGTGGCAGCTGGCTGTTGCTGCTGTTGCGGCTGCTGCTGCTGCTGCTGCTGTTGCTGCTGCTGTTGCTGCAGTTTCTCCTGCTGCTGCTGCAGCAACACCAGGCGGAAACTCTTTGTAACTGCAAAATGAAAATGTCTGTAAAAGTAGTGTTGTTCCTGCTTTGCTGCTGCTGCTGCTGCAATATGCATGCAGCGTGTCGTCGATATGTCTCTGCTGGGTTTTCTTTTGCTGCTGCATTTCTTTTTATTTTACTTTTTAAATAATTGCTGTTATATCATCATCATCCTTCATGAGCAGCAGCAGCACCAGCAGCAGCAGCAGCAGCAGCAGCAGCGACAGGGAGAGGGCAGCAGCAGCAGCAGCAGCAGCAGCAGCAGCAGCAGCAGTACTGACACGGTTATATGCTTCTAACGAGAGCTTTATAACTTCGCACATTTGGCTATAA